CACTCGTCCGCCCCTCCTCTCTACATGCACGTCTCCCTACCTCAGCGCTTTGCGGCCTCTCTGATCCGTGAGCCTCTCTCCTTTCAGGTTGTGAATTTTCCACTCTGCCAGCTTTCCTGTGGTTTTGGATGATGTCCGTTCTGTCTTTTAGTTGTTGTTTTGAAATTGTTATGCGAGGCAGTAGTTTAGGTGCTTACCTAGGCTGCCATCTTGGTTTTTTGAAGCTGCTTTTTAAAATTGAAATTCCTTTTGAGAGCCAAATTTTTTTTAACTTAAACTTCTTCTAACACCACTTCTTTAAAATAGACTCGCCCAGGCCGTGGTATTTTGTGGAAGAGCACACTCAAGGGAACAAAGAGCTGCATGTAGCTAGAGTGCCTCAGTTTGCCTACCATGGGGCTAGGGCTAAGAGGAGATCTTTTTGAGTGTTCAATATTCTTTTTTTTTTTTTTTTAATTTTGAGAGGGAGAGGGGGAGGGAGGGAGGGAGGGAGGAAGGGAGGGAGGGCGAGAGAGAAACAGAGAAACAGAGAAACAGAGAAACAGAAACATGAATGTGAGAAACATCGATAGGCTGCTTCCCATGCACAGCCTTTAAATGTCTAGGACGATGCTTCAGCCTAACTGAGCCACATGACAAGGATGAACATTCAATATCTTCACAAAATACTGTTTTGGAAAGATTAGTGTGGCAATAATATATAGGTGGGAACCAAGGCACAGTTACTTTTATGGGCTAGGAAACTGACCTCCTGAGCTTTACCAACCTCTTGTGCCCTGAAGCATGTGGCAAAACTGGAATCCAAACCCAAGTATTGAGTCCATAGTGGTACTCTTTACTTTTCATCCCATTATCTTATAATTGGCTGCATGAAAATCAAGATAAGTGATAAGGATCAGATTTGTCTAGTTCCTCTTATAAAACATTTACACTTAAAAAACATTATTTTGGCTGTAGCAGGTTTGGCTCAGTGGATAGAACGTCGGCCTGCAGACTGAAGGGTCCCGGGTTTGATTCCAGTCAAGGGCACATGCTCCGGTTGCAGGCTCCATCCCTAGAAGGGGGCATGCAGGAGGCAGCCAATTAATGATTCTCCCTATCATAGATGTTCCTATCTCTCCCTCTCCCTCTCAAGTAAATAAAAACATTAATAAGATATTATTTTGATCTTACTAACTTTCTTATATGAGTATATAGATATTTAGGACCAGATAATTCTTTGTTGTGGGAGCTGTTCTATCCATGGTTGGATGTCTAGCAGCATTCCTAGCCAAACAAAAATATCTCCACACATTGCAGAGGCTCCCTGGGACAAAATCACTCAAGTATGTCTTTAAAGAATACAGAAGAATACGGTATGGTGTCAAACGTAACCAGAAATAATTAGTGCTCTGTTGCAGGAGTAAGTATTGTATTCTAGTAATTTTGCTTTATATGCAGTTATAAGTCATAAAATAGTAAGCTTCTGAAAATTAGGAAAAACTAAAGTGATTATGTAATTTATTGTAGTAACCTGGACACTATTTAAGAATCAAAGTGTTGGGATGCCAAAGCAACAGGCTTAAATAAGGACTTTCTGGGCAAGCTGGGGTGAATGGACATGCTAGGAATATTCAAACACTTACTGAATATCTACTATGAGTAGAGCACTATGTTGACATGATAAGTAGTCAGAACTGTAGCGTTTGGAAAGCCTTTTGAAAAAGATTGAAGTAAGACTTAGGATTTTCTCTTTAAAACTCAGGGAGTGGAACAACTTGGCTTGCTAAAGGAGGATCCTGTTGCATGCTACAACCCAGCTCATGTGTCCTCTGGCAGGTTTAAAAGAACTTTAAAACCACAACCAAAGGTTCCCTGACTGAAGAATAATTTTGTGCCAATACTATATAGGCCCAAACCCTCTGACTTTACTTGAGGATAGTGGCGGGCACTGAAATCAGAGGTTAGGGTGGTAGAAGATAGTTGACATGTCCCAGGGATTATTGAGTCAGTCTCCCCCTTTCATCACTCTAGGAATGGCACAATTGCCACATTAACTTTTCACTATAAATGGAAGGAAGGAGCACTTTCTATTGCTAGTTAGGGGAGAAGATGTAGGAACAGTAGGGGGAAATTATACATGTAGGATTAGCAGGATTATACATGTAAGAATAATGGGGGTAATTTATACATATAGAATCAGCAGAAATTATTTTCAGATTTTTGGTGAGTGTAGGAAATAAAAAAGATGGAGAAATTCAAATTTACTCTTAAGTTTTTAGCTTTTCTAACTGAAAGAATTACAGTGCCGTTGACAAAAAAACAGGGAAACTATAATTCATGGGTATATGGAGATAGATGGTGATGTTTTAGTTTAATTGATTTTAAATGATCAATGTTTAGTTTATTTAGTTTACCGTAGTTTTTGTATTCTTAAATATGCTACAAGCACCTTACAACTTTTTTATAAACAGCTTTATTAAGACATAATATATACTATAAAAATCACTGGTACCCGTGTAATTTATGTACGATAAAAATCATTTTGTAATTCAATGTTGTGGTATATTTACAGTCATGGCACAGCACAATTATCACTATCATATAATTTTTAGAACATTTATATCACCCTAAGAAGAAACCTCATCTCCATTCCTATCTCCAGCCCTATGCAACAACTAATCTACTTCCTGCTCCATGTTCTTTTCTAGACATCCTATATAATAAAGAGGTAGTATGCAAATTAACTCTCACACCCTCACAGGATGGCTGCTTATGACCAGGTCGGCAGGGGGGTTAGTGAGGGGCGACCAGACAACTGAACAACAGGTTGCATAGGGCAACCAGGCCGGCGGCGGGGAGGGGGGAGGCAGGCAGGCAGTGAGCAAGCAGGTGAACAATTAGGAGCCAGCGGTCCAGGATTATGAGAGGGATGTCGGACATCCCCCAAAGGGTCCTGGATTGGAGAGGGTGCAGGCTGGGCTGAGGGGATCCTCCCTCCCCCCGTCCCCTACACACACACACACACACACACACACACACACACACACACACACACAGATTTCATGCACTGGGCCTGTAGTTTCTTATAAATGGGATAATACAGTATGTGTTCTTTGGTGTCTGGCTTCTTTCACTGAGCATGTTTTCTGAGGCTCACTCATATTGTTTGCACTTTTAAAAATTATTTTTATAGCTAGTTAAAGGCCCAGTGCACAAATTCATGCATCAGTAGGGTCCCTCGGCCTGGCCTGCGGGATCAGGATGAAACCAGTTCTCTGACATCTCCTGAGGGGTCCCGGATTGCAAGAGGGTGCAAGCCAGGCCAGTGGACCCCACCAGTGCAAGATTGGGGTCAGGGAGAGACATGGGAGATTGGCCACCTGGGGAGGGACCAAAGGAGGGCTCCAGGGCATGTCCAGCCCATCTCACTTAGTACCGATTGGCTGGACTGCAGCAGCAAGCTAACCTAGTTGGAGTGTCTGCCCCCTGGTGGTCAGTACACATCATAGCGAGTGGTTGAGCAGCCTTAGCATGTCATTAGCATATTATGCTTTGATTGGTTGAATAGTTGACAGGACACTTAGCATATTAGGCTTTTATCATATAGGATAGTGGAGGAATATACTAAGTACACGTGAGTCATAAGGATAAATTGTGTGAAACGTAGTGCAGGAGAAAGTTATATATTGAAAGTGTGTTAATATCACAAAGGGTGTTTATGAATGTGTGTCATCTATAGACTTTACTTGCTAAATACTTGCTAACATAGAATATCAGTATGTGATAATTATGGGATGCTGAGGGAGATATTTGTTATGAGACATTTGCAGTATTTAAGTAGGAAATGGAATGAATCCCATTGATGTAATTTTGAGTTATTTCACAAATCAGGATTCTATCTCATTATTTTTGTCCAAATGAATATGAATTGTGTAATAGAGAAATAATTTTCCCTGTTAGTCTTGGTGATCTAAATCAGATATGAATGACAGACCTAAGTTTTAGATAGGGAAGAGTGAAGGGATGGAAAAACACATAATACCATTAGGAAATATTTTGTCAATTCTGGTACTATAGGGATATATTTAAAGTGTCAGTTTAAAAACCACTTTGGTTAGAATTCAAGTAACTTCGTGTTTTTCGTACGGATTCATATTTGAAATAACATCAATTGACATAATAGGAACTAATCTGAAAAAAATAATAATAATAACATAAGAAATTTAAGTGTATCCCATCCCTGTGTTCTGCTTTTTTGTGTGTATCTTACCCAGAAACTTATAAAATATCATCCCTTCTTTCCTTAGGTTGATCTAATTTTATAAATTAATTCATATTAAGTTATTAAGGACTTAAGTGATGCTTTTCTCTGACACATTATTATTTGAAAAGAAAGAGGGCTACAGAGTGGGTACTGCTTAACTAAAAGGAATGAATTATTTATGGTGGGTTTTTGTGTGGCTTGTGGTAGGAAGGGAACTGGGAAGTAGAAAGGCCTCTAGTGTACTAATGAAAACAGAATAAACTATTTTAAAGATAGATGTTTCCTCACAGTTTTTATAAAGAGAGTAAAAGAAAAGGAAGACACTTTTGGATTAGACAGTTGGCCTCCTTTGGGTTCAGTTAATAGTTGAGATTTGGCCCTAACCATTTTGGCTCAGTGGATAGACCGTCAGCCTGTGGACTCAAAGGTCCCAGGTTCCATTCCGGTCAAGGGCATGTACCTTGGTTGCAGGCACATCCCCAGTGCGGGGTGTGCAAGAGGCAGCTGATTGATGTTTCTTTTTCCTCTCCCTCCCTCTCTGTAAAAAATCAATTAAATATATTTTTTAAAAATAGTTGAGATTTGGGTTTATATTGATGGTTATAGTGTTATTCCTGTGCACAAAGTAAAATGTGGGAGATTTTAAACATACTCCGTTATTTTTACTCCCCTCCTCCATTTAAACCTATCCAAAAGGATCCCTCTTTTAATCTTGTGCTTAATAATGAAGATTTTTGTTTTATTTTTCTTCTAGGCTGTATTCATCACCAAAGAAAAAACTTACACCAATGCAGAAATCGGTTAGCCCATTAGTTTGGTGCAGGCAAGTTTTGGATTACCCAAGTCCTGATGTTGAATGTGCTAAAAAATCTCTTATCCACAAACTTGATCAAACTATGTCAGGTATGCCTATAATTTCACTTGTAAATTCATCTCTTTGCTTTCTATAATAACAAACAAACAAAGAAAAAAAAACACAAATATATGTTGCAGTTTGTTTTTAGGAAGGCAGTTCTTTGCCTGATAATGTTTTTCAAATCTCATTGTGCATGTCATTATGAGTCTTTGCTATATGCACATAATATTGTTCTATTATTTATTTTTCTTTTTTTTCCAATCTTATTTTTATTTAGCTTCGTTCTAAAGAAAATATTCAAGAAATAATTGGATTTTATATGTTATCTCTGTTTTTCTAATACAAATTGAAACAAATAACTACTTTAAAAATGTTTGTCTAATTATCTCACCACTGTGGAAATTCTGTTGGGGTAGAAAGATACAGTTTAAGACCTTGTTTTCACTCTAGCACTTACTAGTAGTTACTGTGTGACTACGCATTACTTATCAGTTTTCTCATAAGAATAGAGAACCTTGTAAGGTTGTTTTAAGGATTAAATGTAATGTTAATGAAAGAGCCTAGCATGTTTTTCTGATTCAGAGTGCTTAGTAAATGTATTCATTTCCTTTCCTTGTTATGTTTTTCTTTTAATTTGTCATTTAAAGTTTAAATTGCTTTTATGCTCTTTTGTTTATGGCATTAACAAAGCTGGCAAAATGTAACTGTGACTGTGGCATTTAGTGTAGTATGCCAGTGTGGGTAGAAATATAGGAAAATATTACTGACTCTTAGAATTTCAGTCTCTTAAGAAAGTTACTGTTTTCTGGAATAGTCTCATAGGAAAGGATTGATGTGAGTACTAATTCAAAATAGGTTTTTGAGTTCTTTGGTTTATATTTACTTAGCAGTAATTTATTTAAATTTGCTTGTTTTGGCTTTATTATCGAAATAATGAGTTCTCTGGTTAGACTGTAAACTGAAAATGGTCAGGGGAGACAAAGAGCAGACTAAACAGTTAAATGGGCATACAGTAAAAATGCAGTAGGTTATAAGGAGTTTGGTTATTTTATGAAAATAACATCTGGATATGATTACAGAACTTCTGAGCCTATCTTGACACTAAAGTTTTAATTTTTTCTGTGTGGAGAATCCCTTTGTAAAAAGCAACAGCCTTGATGTAGTTTTTTAAATGCTTTTGTCTGGATATCAAGTGTCTTTAGAATTATTTTCTGGAGCTTGATTTAAGTTTGATTCATAAGATATTTTTAGAAATATGTAAACAAGCTAGTATTTCACAATTTAAAAACAGTTGGCCTGGCCAGTGTTGCTCAGTGTTTGAACATCTACCCATGAACCAAGAGGTCACAATTTGATTCCCGGTGAGGGCATATGCCCGTGTTGTAGGCTCAGTCCCCTCAGGGTGTCCATGAGGCAGCCAATTGGTGATTCCCTTTCATCATTGATGTTTCTATTTCTCTACCCCACTTCCTTCCTCTCTGAAATATTTTTTAATTGGAATTTTTTAAATTAATTTCAGTTAGGTGCTATTATTTAGACATGTTTACTAGTAACCTGTTTTTATGAGCAATTTTCTAGTATTCTATTTTACCTTAGAAATAATGTAAATACATTTTACAATTTAATTAAAAATTTTCAGCACCCACCCCAGCTAGTGTGGCTCAGTGGATTGAGCATCATCCCATGCCCTCAGGGATCACAGGTTCAATTCTGGGTCAGGGCACATACCCTGGTTGCAGGCTTGATTCCCCAGTAGGGGGCATGCAGGAGGCAACCTGTCGATATAATATTTGATGTTTCTATCTCTCCCCCTTTCTCTCTCTAAAAAGATCAATAAAAAATATATATTTTTTAAATTTCATCATTCAGAAGTTATATGTTCATAATCTACCATGTGTTAGGTATTGTTCTTAACTCTGAGGATAACTCTGAGGATATAGCAATTAATAAAATAGTAGAAAAAGTCCCTTACTTTCTGAAACTTATATTCTAATGGGGGGAAGCATACAATAAATAGATAAATAAACATGTAAAACAGGGATTGGCAAACTTTGTTTTTTTAAGAACCAGATAATGAATAGTTGAGGCTTGTGGGCTATGAGGACTCTGTTGCAATTGCTCAGCTTTGCTCTATTGCAGAAGTAGCCGTAGTTAGTACATAAATGAACATGCATGGCAGTGTTCCAATAAATTTTTTTTTACAAAAACAGGTGGTGGGCTAGATTTGACTCGCAGGCTATAGTTTATCAATCTCTGCTTTAAAACATCCTAAGGAATGGGAACTATTAGCAATTGATAATTACCAATTTAGACTTAGAGGAGAAAAACCAAAGTTGTTATTCCTCAAAAATAAGTTTGAATGAGTGGCTTTTTGCTTTATTATAAAGGGTATTAAAGATAGTAGGAGAGTGTAAGAGAAGCTGTTGCTCTTTACTAGATGTAATCATGGACTAGATCTGTTTAACAGTGTCTATATTCTGTAGCCATATATGCACAGAGCAGTAGCTAGAGCTATAAATACTTAAAGGAAAAATGACTTGGCTATTTCAAGTCAGAACCTTGTAATCATAACCCCCACTTTTCCAAGATGGAAGAGATCTTGTTTTTTTAAATGTGTTTTTGATAAGGCAAAGAACTTCCTGGCAGACAATGTCTGCTCCATCGCACTCGGCTTCTCTGCAGGGCACTACCACCTGTTCCTAAGATGATGTTCTCTGGTTTTTTATAGTAGTGCATTATCTTCTTTACCTTCTCCAATTCTCTCTGCTGTTTCTTTTCCATCTTCTTTGAAGGTTCTTCCTTCGCCCCTCTTTTGTGTATGTGTGGTAAAATTTACATAACAAAATTTCCCATTTTAACCATTTTTAAATATACAGTTAGTTAGGTGGCATTAAGTACATTCATAGTGCTATGCAACATCACCACACCCATCTCTGAACTTTTTCATCATCCCATGCTAAAATACTATGCCATTAAAATTTTACATTCCTCCTACTCCTATCTGACCATCTGTTTCTTCTTCTTCTTCTTTAAAAAAAAAAAAAATATATATATATATATATATATAAAATATATATATATATATTATTGATTTTTTTTTTTTTAACAGAGAGAAAGAGGGAAAGAGAATTAGAAACATCGACCAGCTGCCTCTTGCACACCCCCTACTGGGGATGCAAGGTACATGCCCTGTGACCAGAATCGAACCTGGGACCTTTCAGTCTGCAAGCCGATGCTCTATCCACTGAGCCAAACCGGTTTGGCTGTTTCTTCCTTTTTTTAACTTCACCTGAGGATATGTTTTTCATTGATTTTAGAAAGAGAAAGGAAGAGGGAGAGAGAGAAATGTTGATCTGAGAGAGAAACATTGATTGGTTGCCTCACCATGCATCCTGACCAGGATTGAACCAACAGCCACAGTGTGTGTCTTTACTGGGAATCAAAACCGTGACCCTTCGATGCAAGGAACACTTTAACCACTGAGCAACACTTGCCAGGGCCATCAAGCCATCTTTTAAATTTAGGGTACCTCAGGTCTCTTTTTGCCCCACTTCTCTCTTGATTATTTCATCCATTCATATGGTATTCAGTATCATCTGTGTTCAAATTAACGTTATTCATTCATGCATATAGTCAATTAATATTATTGAGAGCCTGTTATTAGGATTTGGGGTAAGGGCAGAGGAAAAACTAACATTGTGTCTACATTCATGGAGTTTATCATCTAGTAGGGGAAATGTAAATACAAATAATTATTTTAAAGGGTGATCTGTAATAAAGGAACAGGAATTTTACCTCAGGAAGTGATTTGTAACCTGAATCCTAAAGACTCAGAAAAATTTAAGTGGGCTAAGGGGAAAAAGGAGGTAGGGTGTTTCTGGTGGAGAAAGGCCTATGTGGGTGTGTGGGAGGAGGCGTGGCATATATGAGGAACTAGGTGGCTGTAGGAAGGAAGCGATGTATGATAACGCCAGAATACGTGAAGGAGCCAGACTCTGCAAGGCCTTATAGACCACATTAAAGATTTCGGATCTGATTCTAAAATGGAAGATATCAAAGGGTTTTATTTAAGAGGGTGTGTGTGGGCGGGAAGACCAGGTTTACATTTTGATAGTCTTGCTTAGCTATAGTGTGGAGACTAGATGAGAAGGCCAGAAGTGAGTGTAGGATGCTCTTGAGGGGGATTGATGAGGATAACTGGGTAATGTGGGGGATGGGGGTGAAAGGGCAGTGATGCAAAAGTGCAAGTAAAAAGGAATGAACCTAATATGAGGAAAGGAGGGGAAAGTATCAGCATTGATTTCTGGGTTTCCAGCTGTGTGATAGGAGAAATGTTGTTAGCATTTTTACATAGGGACCCCAGAAAGGGAATTCTATTTTTAGTGGGAGAATTGTGAGTTTGGATGTTGGCTCTGGGGCAAATTTTCCATACCCACAGGGGAGAGTGAATGGGCAGTGTATATGGAATTGGAGCTCAGAAAAGCTTAGGACTGGGCATAAAAATAATGAGTTTGAGGAATATAGACAGTAATGTCATGGATAGGAATGAGATTTCCCAGGAAAGAGAACATGGTATAGAGTGAGAAGATAAAAAGGCTGAGGACTTGAAATACTAGTGATTAAATAAATAACTAAAGAGAATGAGTTTCATAGGAGATGGAGGAATAAAGAGATAGGAAGAAATTAGCAGCCCCATATCTGTTTGTTGTCTCAGTGTGAATTATATATAAAACTAATCTGTTCGACTTTCTACACTATTCAGTAACTTCAGAGTCATCATTTTTTTTTTTTTTTTACCTTTTCCCAATGTTTAATGTTTATTCCTTTTTTTTTTTTTGTCGTCACCTATACTGCCTATTTCAGGCTAATCTATTCAACTTCAAAATCACCCTCAGTTTCCGCCCCCCCCCCCAACTGATTGGATCATATATCTCTTGCTCCAAAATCACTGATGGCACTGTCATTGCTGCTGATTGAGGTTCAGACTCCTGAGCAGAGTGTCCCAGGCCTCCCGTGACCTGGCCCCAGCTGGTTTTCCCTATTGTACCTCACCATGTGCTTTACCTTTCTAGATTTTTTGCTCTTAATCCCTGAACATACTGTGCATTTTCAAGACACTGCTTCTGTTCATGTTATAAACACAGACAAAGCACATACTTTCCTCACTTTCAGAAGCATATTATTCATCCTCTCAAGACTCTAGCAGTGCCTCTCCTGCCAAAAGCCTTACATAGGTTCTCACAATTGTGATACCTTACTCTTATCTTATAATTTCCATAAACCTTAGCATCTTTATGATAATACTCCTTTCATTTTGTCTTGAAATAATTGTGTGTGTTTTTTCTGGCTAAACTACTTGACCTCTTGAGAAAAAGCACCAGGTCACCCGTGTCTCTAGTTCTACACAGTAATTTGCTGATAGTTAGAAATGTTGAATAAACTGTGGATTTTAGAATAAGGTAGAAGAAAGAAGTACTATTTCAAGTATTAGTATTTCTTGTACATAATTGCATATGATATCTTAGCCCTATTTTTAGTACTGTTTCTATTTTATATGCATGGCACAATTTTTTTTCTTCTTTTTGGCAGAAATATTCCTCTTGAGCCAGGAAATGGGAGCGAGGAGGACTTTTTTTTTTAAAAGAGAATTTTCCCATGTTTGACCTTAACCTACTTATTATTGCTTTTTTCCCCCCAAAAAATCCAAACTTTGAAAAGGCTTTTAAAAAACTCATTATTTCATACTGTGTTTTTTTGTGTGTTGGTTTTTTTTAACACAAAATGTTTGTTGTTGAAAAATGAGAAAATATAAATTGCCTTTACATTCATTTTATTTTTCAAGGTCATTTGAGATTGATACAGTGGAATAAACTTTCTAATTAAATAGCGGAACATTCATTTAGTGGCTAATAATTTGTTGAGGAGATATTTTTTCTATGCTATTACTTTGTTGTTTGTTGTGGCTACTCTTTTCCTCACATAACACAATTTAAGATAATGAAAATATTTCTTTGAGATTATTAATAGGATATATTTTCTCCTACTATAAGAATGTTTCTATATTGAAACTGAGATAGGTAATGACTTATTTTATACTAGGAAAATTTTGTAATAAAATGTTAACTTTTTCTCAGTTATTAAATTTGATTTCCCCTTTTTCATTAATACAGCTCTCAAGAGGCAGAATTTATATAATAATCCTTTCAACTCCGTGAGTTATACAAGCCCTTATAGTCCAAATGCAAGTAGCCCATACAGCAGTGGTTTCAATTCTCCATCCTCAACCCCAGTGCGACCTCCTATAGTCAAACAGCTAATACTTCCTGGAAATTCAGGTAAGGAGAAAATGAAATGGAATGCTTAAAGAATGGGTTTTAACTTACTGCCCTATCTGAGGAAAATACCTTATTCTTCAGTAGTTCAAGTTATTTTATCTATGAAACTTTTAACTGATTAGAGAATATCATTGAAGGTCTACTTGGCACCACAGAGGGATACAGATGAGCCAATTTACATCCATGAAGTTTTCTTTAGCATGTACTTAAAAGTTTTTAAATCTGGCTTCATTAAATAAGGTCGGTCCCAAGCTTGATTATTTTACCAATAGGTGCTTATTTCATATCTTGCTTGGATTATAAAAGCTACAGAATTAAAAACATTTTTATAGGATTTTAATATTGATATTACACTTAAGTAATGTATAAGGTTATATGTGAATGTGCTAAAAAAATATTTGGAGTCCTAAATGACATTGGAAGGAAAGAATGCTAAATGACATTGGAGGGAAAGAATGTTCCTTCCATTTTGGTTCTATTCAGTTACTCTTATTGCCGCTATTGTTATGGAAAATTATTATAATGTCCTTAAAAGTTAAAGTATTATTAACCATCTCACATTTTTTACCTGAGTGCTTTTTAATTTGATGACTTTATTGACCCTGCTGTTTGCTTTGCACATAGGTTGTTAACTTGCTACATATTTCACCTATTACTGTCATACTAAAGAGTTTAATCTGCTATATTTGTTTAATATAAAATATTTTTATTCCAGCACTGTTTGAGCCTGACTTTCCATATCCTGTTATGCCCTTCTTGATAATATAAATATTATTTCATATTCTTGCTCTTCTTATATGCCTTTGTGTTAGAGCTGACTTACAGTGAAGAATTCTGGAAAACAAGCTCTTTAAATAAATTCATATCAGAAATAGTAGTGATATTGTTGTCATTTTGTTATTATCCACTAGAAAGTGATCTGATTAAAGCATTTCCTTAAAAACAAGTTAGACTCTTTTGGATATGTATGTCTTTTATTCCTCTGCACTGTCTTCTTTTTCTCTTTTGGTTAAGAACAATACAATACTTTTTTCATCTAGTCATTTTCTTCCCATTTTTGTGCTTCAGTACTAAATTTCAGATAATTCCTTGGATAAGCATTTCTAGTTTGGCAAAAGAATTTTGTAAACATGGCATAATGTAGGAGAAATGAGCTAGTGTTCTTTTTTTGGTTTGTTGCTAACTTTCTAAGGAATCTTGATTTTCCTCAAATTATAGTATTCTGGTTTAGGAAAAATAGATACTTTTATTCAGGGAAAAGATGATAGTGTTTGCTAATGACTATGAACTTGGAGGAAAAATGCCACATCATAAGTACATCTACTTATCAAGCAGTATCATTGGCAATCTTGTAGAAAAATCCTCTAATATGCATTATTGAAAACTACTTGTCAGGAACTGTTTTGAAAGCGTACCTGTTTTATAAGAGGAATAGATAAGTTATAGTTAAATGAAAATGTGTTTTTTGGTTATGCCATAATGTATTAGGAATCTCTATGGCCCTCTTTATTCTTAATAAGGTCAATTTTTTATTTCAGTATTGGGAAATTTTATAAACAAAAGGCAAATAATAAAATGAATCAGAAGATATAATATCAAGTTTATTCAATTTTTGTTTCACCAAAGTTTGCTTTTTTTTTTTAAGGTAATTTGAAAAGTTCATCAGACAGAAATCCTCCACTCAGTCCTCAATCCTCTATAGACAGTGAGTTAAGTGCTTCAGAATTAGATGAAGATTCCATTGGATCTAATTATAAGCTAAATGATGTAACCGATGTGCAGATTCTAGCTCGGATGCAGGAAGAAAGTAAGTATTTTAATTGTTAAAGTTGAGGTCTTTCATACGACATAATTTTGTTGTATTAAATATGCCTTAAAGTATAAAATAGTAGTGTAGTTAGAGTAGAGATATTGAAATTTTTGAGGCTTATTCAACATATGGACTTAACTTGTCTTCAGAGTCCATTTTATGTAAAGCAGTTTCTTTCCTATGTGAGGACAAAGGCAGGCAGGTTTCACTCTGCTTTCATGACTGGTAATCATTTCCTGCATATTACTTTGCACCAGAACTCACTAGCATAGTTATTACACTATTACTCTGGGTTTTCTTAATGTAGACCAGTGTTTCTCAGCCTTTTTTTCATTGTTGCTGCAGTAAGGTGCCTTTTTAGACATTTTATTTCCCCTGCCCCACATGAAATTTTAAGACCACAGATATGCTATATGTCTCAATATACTTTGGGGGACACAATCTATTATGGTAACTAAGATCATTTTCACATTCCAAGGAGCAGTTTTTATTCCCTTGTGATAAATATCACCTCCCTTAGAAAGTATGGTATAGAACATAAAAAAGACCTTTATGAGAACATTGGGATTGTGACTTTAAATTAAATGAAACATATGATAATTGCCTTGCAAAATGGTCCTTCAACTTTAGGTCACAGGCATCTTTTTTTTTTTTTTTTTTTTTTTAAACGAACCCGCCCTCTCTGGATGGAGAACAGGGCTGGTTTTCTTTTCCTTTTCTTTTTTTAAAATATATTTTAATTGATTTTTTACAGAGAGGAAGAGAGAGGGATAGAGAATTAGAAATATTGATGAGAGAGAGTCATCGATCAGCTGCCTCTTGCACACCCCCATCGGGGATGTGCCCACAACCAAGGTTCATGCCCTTTATTGGAATCGAACCCAGAACCCTTCAGTCTTCAGGCAGACGCTCTATCCACTGAGCCAAACTGGTTTTGGCAGTCACAGACATCTTTAAAAATCCAATAAAAATTATGTTCCCTGTCATTCCAAAAATGTATATAAGCACACAGTTTTTCATAATATTTTAAGAGTTTATGCCTTGGCTCTCATCCTACCTAATAAAAGAGTTATATGCAAATTAACCATCACTCTGCTACATAAGCCACACCCACAAACCAATCAGAGTGCATATGCAAATTAACCCCAACTAAGATGATGACTGTGGCCATAGAGGCTTGGATTTCTCTGGCAACAGAAGAAGCCAAGCTTTCCACCTGCCCTAGCAGGCCTAAGCCTCTACTCCAGGCTACAAAGTTTCAATTATAGAAGGTAAACAAATCCAAACAAAAACAGCTGCCGCCATGGAGCAAGCAGGAGACTTGGCTCTGCTCCAGGCTACAAAGTTTCAGTTGTAGAAAGTAAATATATCCCAGATACCAGGGCCTCCGGTTGGGTTGCTGGGGAGCATGGCCGGCCTGCAAACCACCACAGGCCCCTCAGGCCAACCCACACCCCAAGGGAACCTCCACCCTGATGCAGGACACCTTTTAGGGCAAACCAGCTGGCCTCCACCCATGCACCAGGCCTCTATCCTATCTAATAAAAGAGTAATATGCAGATTGGCATCACTCCAACACACAAGATGGCTGCCCCCATGTGGTCAAAGATCCTGCCCCTATGTGGACACAAGATGGCCAGCAGGGAAGGGCAGTTGGGAGGGACCAGGCCTGCAAGGGAGGACAGTTGAAGGTGATCACCCCTGCAGGGGAGGGCAGTTAGGGAAGACCAGGTTGGCAAAGGAGGGAAGTTGGGGGCAAACAGGCTGGCAGTGGGTCAGTTAGACATCAATCAGGCTGGCATGGGAGTGGTTAGGGGGTGATCAGGCTGGCAGGCAGAAGTGGTTAGGGGCAATCAGGAAGGCAGGCAAGCAGTTGGGAGCCAGCAGTCCTGGATTGTGAGAGGGATGTCCGACTGCCGGTTTATACGGGCAGTCAGACATTCCTCAAGGAGTCCCAGATTGGAGAGGTTGCAGGCTGGGCTGAGGGACAACCTCACCCCACCCCCCTGCATGAATTTTGTTCACCAGGCCTCTAGTCTGAATATAAGATGGTGGTGATAATATTATTCTTCCCTATACATTTTATTACAGATGCCATGGACTTAACTGTGAAATAAGCAATCTCTAAAGTGATCCCTTTAGCCTTTATAATAAAAAGATCCTTTAAACACAATTGCACAGTGACAGTGGGCTAAGGATAATGGAGCATTGCTATAATTCCTTAGTTCCTTCCTTTTATATAAATATGTAGTATTTTTTAAAATATATTTTATTGATTTTATACAGAGAGGAAAGGAGAGAGATAGTTAGAAACATCGATGAGAGAGTCATAGATCAGCTGCCTCCTGCACACCTCCCACTGGGGATATGCCCGCAACCAAGGTACATGCCCTTGACTGGAATTGAACCCGGGACCCTTCAGTCCCCAAGCCAACGCTCTATCCATTGAGCCGGTTTCGGCTAAATATGTAGTATTATTAAGTTAAAACATTTATTAAGAAATGTTCTTATTCTGCTGATTTATTTCCCATTTTCACACAACTTCCCTTAGAAAGATAGGAAGACTTGATGCTTTTTTTATTTCAGTGCTAGAAATGAATAGAATGGTACTCTCTTTGGTAATTTTGTATAGCACCTCTACTGGGACTATGGTATTATCAGCTGGTGAGGGGCTAGTTATCATAACGGATATGAAAAAGAGAATAAAGAATGCTGCCTAACTGTAACTTAGAGTTGTCACCAATTCTTCTTTTAACCCTGACTTTTTTGACCCCAGTATTTTGTTAGAAAGAGCCAACTATTTGCTATAGTTTTTTTTAAAAATATATTTTATTGATTTTTTACAGAGAGAAAGAGAGAGAGATGGAGAGTTAGAAACATTGATGAGAGAGAATCATCGATCAGCTGCCTCTTGCAAACCCCCTACTGGGGATGTGCCCACAACGAAGGTACATGCCCTTGACCAGAATCGAACCTGGGGCCCTTCAGTCCGCAGGCTGACGCTCCATCCACTGAGCCAGACCGGTTTCAGCTGCTGTAGTTTTTATATTGTGCTCTGGTAACAAATAATAGAAATTCTAGCCTTACTTTAATAATCCTTTCTAAGCTGTCTACATGCACAAATATTTATTTTCCTGGTGAATTAAAAATATATATATTAAAAAATGTGTTTGCTTCTTCCTTGAAAACACCAGTGTTTTTTCTTAAGAGAATGATTTTTCTTTTTTTTTTTTTTTTTTTTTTTTTTTTTTTTTTTTAGGGTTAAGTCAGTTTTTCTATATTTTTTCATTGTCATGGCACATGTTTAAAAACTGGAATTTTTAATGAATTAATAAAAAATGTAAAGTGGTACTAAATTAAGTCAATAATGATTATATAACATACTGCAGAGAAAAAAATGTCTACATTGATCACAACTCTTTACTGCCTTGACCCTGTCATTTTTTTTTTTTTTTTTTTTTTAATTTATTTTTTTTTTATTTTACATATTTTATTGATTTTTTTTTTTTGCCCCCCTCCTTCCCTCCCATGTATCCCCTCCCTCCCCAGAGTTTTATGTCCATTGGTTGTACTTATATGCAGGTATACAAGTCCTTGGGTTGATTTATTGTCTCCCCCAGACCCTCCTCCCCTCCCCGTTGTAATTTGACAATCTGCTTGTTGCTTTACTGTCTCTATATCTATCTTTTGGTTCATCAGTTTATAATGATCTTTATTATCCACAAATGAGTGGGGTCATGTGGTGTTTCTCTTTCATTGATTGGCTTATTTCACTCAGCATGATGTTCTCCAATTCCATCCAGGTTGCTGCAAATGATGAGAATTCCTTCTTTTTTATGGCAGCATAGTATTCCATTGTGTAGATGTACCAAAGTTTTTGGATCCAATCATCAGCTGACGGGCACCTCGGCTGTTTCCAGATTCTGGCTATTGTAGATTGTGCTGCTATGAACATAGGGGTGCATATATCCTTTCTGATTGGTGTTTCTAGTTTCTTGGGATATATTCCAAGAAGTGGGATTACTGGGTCAAATGGGAGTTCCATTCTCAGTTTTTTGAGGAAACTCCACACTGTTCTCCACAGTGGTTGCACCAGTCTGCATTCCCACCAGCAGTGCACGAGGGTTCCTTTTTCTCCGCAACCTCGCCAACACTTGTCGTTTGTTGATTTGTTGATGTTGGCCATTCTGACAGGTGTGAGATGGTACCGCATTGTTGTTTTGATTTGCATCTCTCGGATAATTAGTGACTTTGAGCATGTTTTCATGTGCCTTTTGGCCTTCTTTCTGTCTTCTTTTGTAAATATTCTATTTAGGTCCATTGCCCATTTTTTAATTGGATCATTCATCTTCCTTTTATTTAGTTGTATCAGCTGTCTGTAGATGTTGGAGATTAAACCTTTATCCGTGGTATTATTTGCAAATATATTCTCCCATACCGTGGGCTTTCTTGTTGTTTTGTTGATGGTTTCTTTTGCTGTAAAAAAACTTTTTATTTTGATGTAGTCCCATTTGTTTATTTTCTCTTTAGCTTCCATTGCCCTAGGGGCAGTATCAGTGAAGAAGTTCTTTTGGCATACATCTGAGATTTTGCTGCCTGCGGATGCTTCTAGTATTTTTATGGTTTCCCGTCTGATGTTTAAGTCCTGTATCCATTTTGAGTTTATTTTTGTGTATGGTGTAAGTTGGTGATCTAGTTTCATTCTTTTGCATGTGTCTACCCAATTTTCCCAACACCATTTATTGAAGAAACTGTCTTGACTCCATTGTATATTCGTGCCTCCTTTGTCAAATATTAATTGAGCATAGTGATTTGGGTTGATATCTGGGTTCTCGATTCTATTCCATTGATCTATATGTCTGTTCTTGTGCCAGTACCAGGCTGTTTTGAGAACAGTGGCTTTGTAATACAGTTTGAAGTCTGGTATTGAGATCCCTCCTACTTTACCCTTCTTTCTCAGGATTGCTGTGGCTATTCGGGGTCTTTTATTGTTCCAA